AGCCTTCGGTTCAAGACAATAAATATTTTGGTGTAACTTTTGTACTGTATACAAGGTGATTCATAAACTCGTGTGCATATTCGAATTTAGATGTTAAAGTAAGTGAAGGAACGCCGTACAAATATATGATCTACATATTTCAGGTTTCAAGGTCTATATGGGCTCCACTAAATAACACAAAAATTGTATCTATAAAAGGTACAGTTGCTCTTACCAATAAGTATAAGGGACGTTGCTAAGCTGCTATAGAATTTATATAGAACATATAAATGTAAACGATTAATTTATCTGAGAAATTAAACCCACAAAACAAAAAGCAGAGTGATTCTATGAAATGACAGATATAAAGGATTAATCAAGTGTTTTGACAGTAGAATAAAGAAATATTGAAGAAATGTGTTTAATTATTTCAACTTGTGTCCGACAGGTTTGTTCATATGATGTTCTTGTTCTTATGTTGAGCCATTCTTTCAACTGTGAACATTTATTTACGAATCACTTTGTAGAGATGAAACTCTGAACTATATAGACTTACTCGTTAAGGAACTTCGCATTGGTTGTACAAGCTAACGATTGAAGGATTAACGGCTGATCCGCGGCGAGGTCTGTTTCAAAATATCTCGTCCATAAATGTGTCCAAGTTTTATTGTCATTTTGTTTAGCTGCTTCACAGTACGCGACCGCACGTAAATGTGGTTGAACTCTGGTCCTAAAGTTCAATTGAACATTTATTACAGTTTTGTCTTCAATTATTTAGTAATATGATATTGCATAATAAAAATATTGAACATTTGTAACTAACATTCCAAGACGATCCGCTTCTTGTCCGTATTTAATTAATGCCTTTTCTCTGCAATCACCGATGCCAACTTGACAAGCCCACTTGCGGACTTGCATTTTCAACAGAATTGTTACTTGTGGGTCGGTATATAAATCAGTGAATCCGTACTTATCATATATCGGACCAATAAGTCCGGTTAAATATTGCTACAACAAAAGATTGCATGCATATAAATGAAGCTTACGTTTACATACTTGTTGGTATTAAGTATAGAATTTCGGATTCTTGCAGTATTTAGTATAGATAACTCGAATTTTAGTATAGTAGTGTTAACACTGAGTGCATTAACATGTTGGACCGTGCTTTTATTGTTTCGCGTGATATATTATTGATATAATTTTAACAAACGTACACTACAACGCGACAGAGGAAACTACTTAGATAGTTCGTTTGGAAGTGTTTGTACCTATCACAAGTGATAGATAAAGTGTTAAGTGTAGACTGAGCATTTCTGAAATGTATAAATTTGTAAAGTAAGAAAGGACCCGCAAATGAAGATTATATCAAAAGACATGTGTTATACCTTAAAACCATTAAACGCGTCTCTCCCTTCGAAATGTCTACGTAAATGGGTTGCTCCAGTCAAGAATGCCTTCCATGGAACATAATCAAATTCAGTGGCCATATATTGTGTCGCGGATAGAACGATATCGTAATTAACTATGCCCTTTCTACCATAGTTCATTAAATCATCGATAATCGCGGCACGATTGATTTCATGCATTTCTCGGTATGATTTTCCTTTCAAGAAGGTAATTATTCGTTGCCAATAATCGTCGTCATAATTTACTCGATAGAATCCTGGAATCAAGCCCCAATTAGTATTTTAGAAAATAATTTAAGTTATAGGTCAATTAGGAAAAGCTAATTTCAACATATATGTATTGGATCTAAGATGGAAGTTTAGAAAAGATATTACTTCTTTAAAAAAGGATTTAAAATCATTTAATTATTTTAACATTAGTACCACATCGTTGAGTACGAAAGTAAAATTAAAGACTGTATTGA